TCTCATCAAAATGATTAAACGATCCTTTAAATAAAGAAAGGATATTTTTGATCGTACGAGAAAAAATTTTTGTTCGTCCTGGGACTATAGGGTATGTATTGCATTCAAACCACATTTGTACATACGATAATTGATTTTCGTCCTGGGATGATCTCCTCTGTACGCAATTTGTACGGACGATATTTATCATTCATCCTGGGACAATCGGCTCTGCTTTGTACTTATTCCATTCGTACAGACGAATGCTACCGAACTTTCAAACTTAAGGGTTTCACAAGTGCTTTGATATACAACCTCGGATCGGTCATACATCATTGGTGGATTCTAAACTTCAAAACGATCAAATATCCTTTGTGGATTTAAGTGACATCTTCTCTACTGCACATTGATGTATTTCTTATGACTTGCTTTTCAAAGAAAAGTTATAATCTAATCATCATCAGGCCTCCACTAAGTTAATAGTATTGGTATGTTGCTAGACTACTGATAAGGTACACTACTTCAACCCCTTCCATCAAGGATGCCTGATGTCCGCACGCGTCAGTGTGGATGCATACTACTTCCAAAAAATAATGTTAAAATCTCAGATATATTTTTGTACTATACTAGATTCAACATCCAAAAATAATGGGTAACTGATATGTCATCAAAAATTACTTTGGTCGAGCACAAATCTCGAGGCATATTCAAGTTGAAAATTTTCAAAATTAAATTTGGATTAATCTGAATTCCAATTTTAGCAAACTTATAGTCAAACTGAACATCTCAAAGAGATGAACCTAACAAAACCAAAATTGGTTAAACCCAAGCCCAAATGGGTCCAAATCGATGGCCTAGACTCCATTAAGAAGGGGCAAAGTATTATTTGAATGACAAAATTATATTCAAATATAACATGCTTATAGTTAAATCGAGCGAATCGGTGAGACAATTCTAATGACATAAGATCATAGAATTTTGACATCATTAAGATCTTTAATTGTCTAACAAATGATCCATGATCAAGGGATCCAATATCGACCGTCCATCCAAACCACTCCCTATATAACCTTGATCTTCCTCTTATTTACGGGCCATGCCACTCTATAAAATCCATAAATAGACCCCCACTCTTGATATGAGGGGGGCTGCTGCTAGAGATGAGAGAGAGCTCTGAAGCCTCAAGATCTCCAGCACTGCCGACAATCGTCAGCCTTCCACCAGGCCAACGACTGACGCTAGACTTTAGCCTAACCAATATCGGACTATCGATTGAAGCCCAAACTTTTATCAAACCACTGACATAAGTTGAAATTTTAGCAGACCATCGAATAATGCCCTAACTTCTACCATACCATCACCTTATGTCTATGGTCATTTTGATCCCTATCTCCTATCGAGTTTGGTCATTATAACCTTCATCGCCTAATACAGTCCTTTAAACCTCCATCAAAAGATAACGGTCATTCTGACCCCTATCTCCTACCGACTTTAGTCCTTCCGACCTCTGTCACCTACTATGGTCCTTCCAACCACCATTGCAAGATGACAGTATTTTTGACCCCTGTCTCCTACCGATTATGATTCTTTTAATCTCCATCGCCTACTACGATCCTTCCGACCACCATTACCAGATAATAATCTTTTTTACCTATATCTCCTATCGATTATGATCCTTTCATCCTTTGTCACATACTATGGTCCTTCCAACCTCCTTTACTAGACAACAGTCTTTCTGACCTCTGTCTCCTTCCATTTACAATCCTTATGACCTTTATCACCTACTAATGTCCTTCCAACCTCCATCGCCAGACAATAGTCTTTTTGACCACTTTCTCCCGCTAACTATGACCCTTTCGACCTCCCTCACCAAATAATATTCTTTCTAATCACTATATCTCACTGACTACGATCCTTCAGACCTCCCTCACTTGATAATGGTCCTTCTGACCATCATCACCAAACTACTATCTTTATGACCTTCATCACTCACTGACTATGGTTCAGCCAACTAAACAAATATTTCAATACTAATTCTTCTAATTCCCACAATATAATATGATATATATAAGGAAGGGCCTCATTTGTAATCGATTGTAAATAATAGCGGGTTCATTCAAATTGAGCCATGCCACGTGGTTTTTCCCCCTTTTTAGGGGTTTTCACATAAAAATTATGGTGTCTCTTATAAATGTTACACCCTCTTTTTATCTACTTGTGTGTTGGATCTTCGTACAAAACTAAGACATTAAATTTTATATTTCTCTACTACCGTGAATATTCCAGGATGCAACAATACTTAAAAAGTTAAAAACACATAATTTTTAATTGTTATTACCTCATGCATATGATTATTGAATTGATGAATTGTATAGAATTTTGACACACTATTGGTCGTTGATTCATACAAATCGATCATGTTGGGATCTAAAAACCTTTTTCATGCAACATCCATTAAGAAAAAATAAATGGCAAAATAATTATTAGGTGTTATTTTTGGAGGCTTAAGGGTGTGTCCTATGGGATTGATATTTGCCATATATTAGGGATTGAGTATGTGTGGATTGAGGTTGATGCTATCCTTTTAATTCAAATCCTTAATAATGTGATGCCTAACAACCCTCAAAACTTTTATATTATTAGGAAAATTAAACAAGCCCTATCTTCCCTTACTTATTTTATTACTCATATTTATCAGGAAGCCAATTCTTGTGAGGATTGGTTGGCCAAGTTTGGATGCCATCTTGATATTTTTCAGGAGTTTAATGTTATGGAGTTACCCTCTCATTGTGAAAGGTTTGATTAATCTGGCCAATGTTGGGTTGCCTTACATTCATAATATTTAATGGTTTTGGTTCTTGTGGTTTTATGGTTTGGTTGGTTCTCTGCTCTCTATTTCTATGTTTCGGACTCTGTGTGGGTGTCGTGTGTGGTGATTTGATGCATGTCGGGTTCTCTGGATTGCAGTGTGGTCTCATCCTTAACCGTTGATATGGTGTTTGGCATATTTTTTTTATTTGGCTAGTAGGTGTTATCATCTGGAAGGGTATAGAGTCTTAATATTGGGGTATTTAGTATTCTTGTTTATCTGGCCTAGTGATTGGAGTCATTTGTTGGGTGGAGGTAACATCTGGAGTTGGTTTATTTATCTTTTTTTTTTGTCTTCTTTAGGCTTATTATTTATGTGCCTATGGGTGTTTTTGTTTTCCAGTCCTATGCCTCTTTATAATTGGTTTGCTCCTCTCCACTGGAATGTAATACAATATTTTTTTTGGTATTGGGATTGTTGTTTTGTGGAGCGGATGTAATTTGCTGGAGTTTAGTTTCTCTCTATTAACCCGTCGTTTGTTTCCGGTTTTAGATGGGCAATGTATTTTTTTGTGACCAGGTTATTCAGGTTGGAGGCTGTTTGCTATATCTACAATAGCAATGAGTGTTTACCTGATAATTATTTTGCTGGTTTTTCTAGTTATGCCAATCATAACAGTTTATATTGTTTAATTTCTCTATGTTATTGCTTTACTCTATGCTTTTTACCATCTTTTGTGGTAGCTTATTCCTTGGGTACGTGTGTTGGTTTAATGTTGATGGGTGCTTGCTCGACTTTTTTTTCATAAAGATTGTGTTGATTGAGTTATATTGGATCTTTCTTTTTTGGGCGCTAGCTTTTTGCCGCCTAGGTTTCCCCTAAGGACTTTGTAATTTTCATTTTTATTAACGCATAGGCTCCGCCATCACTACAGGAAATTTAGGCATTACCGGCGGTTTTTTCCACCAGTTAATGATAGATTTCCGGCGATTTCATAAAAAATCGGTGTTTTAAAAACTGTCGGAATAAACCGCATAGCTAGGAAACGATTTCTGGCGGTCCATTACCGACGATTATACATACCGGCAGTTTTCCGACGGCCTAGACAGCTGGTAATTTCTAGCGGTCATAGCGCTTGTGACCGTAGGTTAATTACCGACGGTTTACCGGCCATCCGGCCGTCAAAACCGCCGATATTAGCGGCAGCTAAACCGCTGGGTCACCGCCGCTAATTAAACCGACGCCATAGCTCGCGGTTACTATACCGCCGCTAATTTTGGCGGCGGTTTATTAATCACCGCTGGTTAAATCGCTGGTTAATACCGGCGGTCTAACCGCTGGCTAAACCACTGGTATTACCGGCGGCGATAGGACCGCCGGTAATAGCCTCCGATAATACTTGAATTTTTTGTAGTGCATAGGTTCCCCCCCTAAAAATAAGTGATCATATGATTTATAAACGAGAGGTACTTAGAACTTTAGCCTATTTTTCTTTTAAATGTAATAATTTAGCATCATCTTTATTCAAAAGGTATATGATGTTAACACTAAACCTCAATAACAATGCATTTTATCAGAATTTATTTTTTATAGCGCTCAATTCTACTTTTACTTTCACCATAGAAAGAATTTTTTATCACACTATTATGATAATATGTCAAGCTTAACAAGAATAATAACAGATTTAATAATTATACGAAATGTCTAGTCACAAAATAAATTAGTAAATAAAACATTAATCATGTGTATTGGTGACTGCCATGGTAAATCCTTTTTAGTTTAATGTAGAGAACCGGTTTCAATATATGGGATTAATTGGTCTATTTCCTGTATGTTAAAAGAATCTCCGGTCTTGAAAAAAGATGAAGCGCAGAGATTTATGCTAAGAATACCCCAAGGGAGTATATTGAATCAGATGAGATGAAGTGCAAAAATATTTTAAAATGAGCTTCTGGATGTGGCACAATAATATAGATTCTTCTAACATGTAGGAAATAGACCAATTGATCCCACATCATTAGAAAAAATATTTTTAAGATTGCATAGTCAACTTCAACAATTAAATATAAAAGAAATTTCATGTTGAACACAATATCCAAGACCAACCTAGACCACCACAACTGCATCAAAATAATGACAGATATAATACCATAAAGTACAGGTAATTGATGCAGTGCACGTTTAGCTACGGTGTGCTGAGGAACACCAACAAGTCAGACAATCTAAAACTCCTTCTGCTAGACGGCATTGGCACGAAAACGTCACTTCTGGTAAGAGTAGTAATCATGGAATTAAGCCAACAACCTCAGGGGAATCGTCTGTCAAGGTTCCCTCCCCGAATCAAGTAGCCAATGATCCCCGGGCACCATTTAAATCTAAACCCATGGTTAAGGAGAATCCATACGCCAAACCGTCTACACTTAAATGTTTTCGATGCTTCCAGCCCGGTCATAAATCGAATGAATGCCCGCAGCGACAACAAGTCCACATAGCTGAAGGAGATGAAGGAATAGACCAAGAAGTGGATGAGGCGAATCAGGATTGCGATTCTGAGGATGTGCCAGCTGATGAGGGAGAAGCCCTTGTATGCGTACTTGAGAGGCTGCTACTAGCACCTCGACAATCCGCGAATCTACAACGCCATTCTATTTTCAAAACCCGCTGCACTATAGGTGGCAAGGTGTGTGACCTTTTGATCGACAATGGATGCACGGAGAATGTGATTTCAAGGGCTGTCGTTCAAAGTTTGCAGTTAAAAACTGTTAAGAATGCACATCCTTATAAGATCAGCTGGGTCAAACGGGGAGTTGAGATTTTGGTCTCCGAATCATGTCAAGTGACATTTTCGATAGGGAAACAGTATGTGTGCGAAGTTTTGTGTGATGTCCTTGATATGGATGTCTGCCATTTAATTTTAGGTAGACCATGGCAATTCGATGTTGGCGCCATCTACGACTGCCGAGCTAATGTATATTCATTTGTGTGGAATGGACGACGCCTCCGGCTACTACCCACAGCTAATGAAACAAAGTCTAAACTCCAACAACCTCAAAAGCAGACATCGGTACAGATACTCTCAGGGGCAGGACTTTTACATTGCTGGAAAGAGCCAGCACCCTTATACGCTCTGTTAATGGCTGAACAGAGCCAAAGTTCAATACCGCACACGTTGCACCCAGACATCCTGCATCTTCTGCACCAATACCGGGATATTACTCCTGATCACCTACCCGAAGAACTGCCACCACTTCGGAATATTCAGCATCAAATTGAATTGGTACCCGGTGCAGTTTTGCCAAACATGCCACATTACAGACTCAACCCCAAAGAACAACTCATTTTACAAGAATTGATAGATGATTTACTAAAGCGCCAATTTATACAGACTAGTCTGAGCCCATGCGCTGTCCCGGCGCTGTTAGTACCTAAAAAGGATGGAAGCTGGCGAATGTGTGTCGACAGTCGCTCCATCAACAAAATTACAGTCAAATACCGTTTTCCGGTTCCCCGCATTGATGAATTACTAGACAGGCTTACGGGATCTACTATTTTTTCAAAACTGGATTTGCGTAGTGGATACCACCAAATCCGAATCCGCCCCGGGGATGAGTGGAAGACTGCGTTTAAAACGCCACAAGGATTGTATGAGTGGAAGGTGATGCCCTTTGGGCTGTGCAACGCACCTTCCACCTTTATGAGAATGATGAATGAGGTTCTAAAGCCATATCTGGGAAAATTCTGTATTGTCTATTTTGACGACATACTGGTTTACAGTACTAGCATTAACGACCATGTGAAGCATTTGCAGGCGTTGTTTGATGTACTCAGGCAACACAAATTGTTCCTCAACCTCCCGAAATGCGAGATGGCAGTTCCAAAGGTGCACTTCCTGGGATTTGTTATTGATGCTCACGGTATTCACATGGACCCTCAGAAGATAAGTGCTGTCCGTGACTGGCCGCCCCCTACCTCATTCTTTGAAGTCAGGAGTTTCCATGGGATGGCGAACTTCTACAGAAAATTCATTCGAAATTTTAGTATTTT